CCCAAAAAAAAAAAAAAAAAAACACACACACACACACCACAGGGATGTAGATATTTCTCAAGTGTTCATTGAACATCTGTGCATACCGCCAGCCACTTCCTTCTTTTTTGGAAGAGGTGGCAGACAAGAAGGCAACAGTGGTGGAGGCAACAGCAACTGCCAGTTGCCACAATGTACCAACCATAGGAATCTAAGGAAAAAGTAGGTTTTGCGCGGAACTTTCACATTCAAAGTTAAAATAAAAAAAGGACCGAGTCTTTTCGCCAGCACATTCTTCTTTCTGCTGTCTTAGTTTAATTGAAATACAGCCTCCGATTTATTTTTATGCATACATAAGCAAAGAGCAAAATTTATTTATTTATTTTTTTTAGGGAAAACAAAACTAAAAAAAGTTAAACAAGCAGAGAAACTCTAGAAGTCTCAACATTTTAGATGCAGAATAAGCTCTTGACTTGTCAAAACTACCATTGGCATAAGATTTAGTGATTATACCCCAGCCATCCAGTGATGAAGATTTTAAGCTAGTAACAGATTGCTTCCGACTCAGAATTTCTCAAAACTATCCCAGGGGCCTCTAGTATGTTACTAGTTTGCCAAAAGAGAATTGCTTCTTTAGCTGCCTTGCAAATGTAAGAGGTCCCTGTACTGAACTCAAGTCCCCAGAAGCAGAAATACTAGTTAGTCATAAGAACCACAACTGGAATACTTACAGTATTCAGCAAGGACTGCACAAGTTCTTTAGTGTACATGCAGGCCTCCCTGACCATATTTGCAGGAACAGAAACAAGATAACTTATCCTAAAAACAAATAGCTTTATTCATTTTAAAAAGGAACACCTAGTTAATGCTGGCTCTGGTCAGATGTGCCCCAGTTTTTCTCCCCCCAGATGAAAATAGCTATATTTTTTGCAGCCACTAGATCCAACTGAGTCTATCCACACAAGTGCCTACTGATTCTCCAATTCTTAAAAAGCCATCTGTTTAGCATTTTGAAAGCTTTAGTCTCCACATCTATGAGGCTATTCTTTTAGAAAGGATCAAGTATTAGTCTCAGGAACTCAGAAGAGGCCAAGTTCTGCACATTTTTGCCATGGGGGTTTCCATCAGCTAGTCTCATGAAGGATGCTCCTGCATCCACAGCTTTACGTGTAGTCTCAGCTGCTGAAGCTTATCAGAGCAAAATTTCACCTTCTTACTTTGGTAGTCATAAATGCAGGCAAGGAAGCAGAACTGTCAAGTTGCATAGAGAATTTTATAGATTTTTTCCTAAGTTTGGCTATATCCTTCCACATTCAGAAGAGACTACACAGCGCAATTCTATTAAATTTTATTGCTCTTAAATAGTGAATGTGCTAGTTACAAAAAAATCAAAGTGCTTTGACTTGAGTGTCTTCACACAGTGTAATTCCTTACCCTTTAACTGTGCATAGTAACTTACACAAAAGTCTTGTTAGACATGCAAACCTCAAAAACATTTGTGTTTCTTCCCCAGCATTTGAAATTATCTTCTTCTATAGACAGCCCTCTTTGTTCCACGTCCTAGAGATAAAAGGAGGAAATGTTTAATATCAGCTTTATTTAGTTAAAAATGCATTTCACACTATGGAGGTCATGTCTGCCTAAAAAGGGCAAGGCAGGAGAAACCCACCAAATAAGCTGCCCCTACTACTACAAGAAGTACATTCCGAATTTTGAAGTGATGCTCAAAAATCATTCAAGCCCCTCTCTCCATGTTAGAGTGCCCTGGTTCTACAGCCAAGGATCCCAAATCATAGCACACTCCAGGAAAACAGTCCAGAATGCTGGAAGATGAACATTTTAAATTTGCAATCAAGTTTAAGAGCCAGTTAAATGTACAACCAACACCTTCATAAATATTATGGTTTGTTTCATTCCTCAGTTTTAGTTCAGGGTCTCACAAGATTATTTCTCTTTTATAAACAGCCATTCTGCAGGAATGGAGGCATGCCAGAAAATTTGGCCATTCTGGAGACAAAAAGGAGACAGTGTGGGATCATGCAAGTTACTCAAATGTTTTTACTAAAAACAGATGAGAAATTGAGAGGTGCAATGTTGACATTCAAAACATTAGTCTACTTCTGGGTCAATACCCATTGATTAAAAGGACAAAGTTTCAGGACTATGCAGGCTCATTCCATTATCTCATACTATTTGGTTGCTTGTTGTGGAAAAAGTTCTCTCTGCACCCAAAATCATGTGCCTCAAGTAAACCAAGCCAGTTAAGTACACTCTCTTGCTTCAAAAGTTTCCCCTAGGAGAGACTCCAAATCTTTGGCTAACTTCCAAGAGTGTGAATTTACAAATAGAGATAACTAGGGCACATTTATTACTTTTATGATGTTTGACTGAAGCACTTTGAATTAAGACAAGAAAGACAAAAATAATTGCTTGTAGTTTTGCTGTCTCCCTGCCATCTGTATTTTGCCTCTGAAGATGAGATTCTGAATCCCACAAAGCTTAAAAATGTAGCATTGTTAGTGTGCATACATGATTTACACATGGATAAATAAAAATTTGGAAGGCTATGTTGCAAGTAAAACCACATACATAAGCAGGACTCTAGCTGCTGTATGTGCAATCTAAAAAGGTACTCTAATTGTGAATTCAGCTAATTCTCCAAAGACCTCAGGAAAGAAAGGGGCTATCACCACAGTTGCTGACAGAGAGGTTTATAAGTCAAGCGCCGATGCCTTCCACGAGCATGCTAACCTTTGCGTGCACTGGTTTTAGGCATTTCCCACACCTCAACCTCTTCCACCTCGCGTCTTGTGTCTCTACGTTTATAAGGGGGCTTGCCTACCCTTTTCTTCTTTGGTTTCTCCAGTGTCAGGTTGTCTAAAGTGACATTAATAATAATAAAAGAAAGTAGCAATATTACTTCTCCAAGCAATTTAGCACGAGTTTTGCCAGACAGGTTTTTACTTAAGTGGTTATTAACAACGTCTTTTTTTTTTTTTATTAAATGAAATCACTGTAAAAACACTTCTTCTTTGCACGCTATTCTGCTCTTCTTTCAAAAGGTAGATACTAGACATTTTTAGAAGGAACGCATGCTGTGACACTAGGAGTCTGGGAAAGTCGAAATAATATTTGCAATCCAGGTACTTTGTAGCCTGCCAGCGGAGCAGTTATTAGCCAGCCTACCCTGAAACCAGTTGCTGCGCTGGCCGACATTCTGGTTACCTAGTGTAGCCAGTCATCAAAACAGTAAGCTGGTGTGGGCATACGCATGGGAATATGCAGAGCATCTACAAGATATTGCAAGAACATCTATGCAGCAATACATGGTTATATTGAACACTGTACAACTAAAAAGCAACACTTCACCATATTAAAGTTTATGGCAGCAGCTTTTTATAAAAGCGTTGCTTGTGTGTAGTGTGCTTATGCTTAGCTTTAGGGTAGGACAGACAAAAATACTAGTCTGCCAGATACAGATGATCTAATCCATACCATGGAACAAGTAGGAGGTAAAGTAAAAAGTACCTTGTTCTTTCATTTTGGCTGGGGGTGATAGACTACTACGTATCAGGCTGGCAAGCTTGGGTTTAGCACCGCTTCTAATCCAGTAGTCTTCAACTGCCAACCCCATGTTTTCCTTCAGTAACCTCCCTAATCAAAACATATTATGGGATTTTAAATAGTGCAAGTCAGTAACTACAGTCAGGATACATTACTACTGACAATTTGTTATTGCAGTAACAGTAGGTTAAGATAGCAATTGAGCCCAGTATACATACATGGAGTAGGTATACAATACCAATAGCTAAGCACCAAATTTCTAACTGGTTAGGTCCAAAACTACACAATCTCAATTTACATTTCATTACATTGAAATTACATAAAGCCACAACTAAAGTGGAATATAACCCACTTGGATTTGAGGAAAGAACTGTTAAAAGCCTTAAAGCAGCAGCAATTTAATCCATTATATTAAATGTTGAGACAGAGACACTGTAAAACTGTTTGCCAGCAAGGCTAATTAGTTACCTGGAACCAAAAGCAATTCATAACACAAGCATTCACTTCCACAGGAAAGAATAGCAAACTTTGCATTATAGTTCTAAATAATCAGTTAAAATATTGTTGACAATGAAAAGTTTGAGTAAAGGAATCAAGGTCCTTTGGGTAAATCCGATACCTTTTATTTTTAAGATGGCATTCTAGTAGTTTGATTCTCATGAGTTATCCTCTAAACCAATTGCAGTAGCTGGTTTATCTGTCAGCATATCCTACCTTATTGAGTTGCAAAGTTTTTACATAGACACTAGTCTCTCTTGCATTTTAAGACAAGGCATGTCATTTAATTAGTCAGACTCATTAAAATGAACTGATACACTACCAGAATTGGAAACAAAGTGGGAATTAAGTTAACAAAAGACTTAAGATAAAACAAAAAAACCCCAGCTTTATACTATTCACCCAACTATACATTTTAGAAAAAAAAAAAAAAGAGAGTGTGAGCTGCCAGTTACAGGTACTTTGTGCCTCATGTAAAAGGCTTCATGTGTTTGCTTCAGTTCCTTACCTACAGAAGTTTTATCTCTGGCCTTTCTTAGGAGTTATAGCACATCATTCTTTTCCTTGTTTTTCCAAGGTTTACAGAACACAGCCAACAGTTAGCAAACACATGCCATAAAGCAGTGGTCTCCAAACTTTTTTGATCGTGCACCCCATCAGCAAAAAGTTTGAGCATGCACCCCCAATATATGAGTATTTATTTATAAATTATATACATATTATGTACAATAGATATAGATAAAAATATAAATAGAAGTTCTAATATTTTCTTCCCACACCCCAATGGATTGTCTTGTGCACCCCACTTTGGAGACCACTGCCATAAAGCATTCCAAGTTATGATCGACACCATCTTGGTCATTAGCTTACCTCCTGAACGCTTTTGTGGAGTTCTCTTGTGATCAGATCCCTCTTTAAGTAGTCCCTCTCGTTTTGCTGTAGGCCTCTTTCTTTCATAGTACCCATAGTCACTGTACACCACCTCATCCTGGTCCTTCTCCTTTGGCTTACAAAATAGACCAATTTCACCAAGGGCACTCTTCAGTTTTACTTTCTCTCTAGTAGGCCAGCTAATTAGCTGAGCTGGGACAGAATTTTTCGGTGGTTTCCAAAGCATCCTCTGACCAATCTGATGGTAGAAGCTACCTCTACTAGGGGTCAGCATTTCATATGGGGTGGCTTCATGAAAGAAATATTCAACTTCATCCAGATCCTCCTCCTCCTCCTCCTCTTCCACCACTGAGAATTCTTCAGAGTCATCAGCTTCCGACAGAGACAAACTCTTAACAGCTTTTTTCTTTAGGGAATAGATTTTCTTTTTACTGGAAGATCTAGGGAGGCTGCCCATCTTTTTACCTCTGCTGGAAAGTTCTTTTATCTTGAGGTTTGAACAGCTTTTGAAGTTCTGGTTATTGATATCATTGGTCTGCTCCCCGTCTACTTGTTCCTCATCTTCATTTAGGGAGCCACTGCTTTTAATTCTCTCTTTCTCCAAGTCATCTGCGTTTTTTTGTAAAGCGTACATGCTTTTCTGAAGCACATAGTCAGGGACAAAGTATGACACTGGTGCATTATCAATTGATGAGCCTTCCTCTTTGGAGGACATTTCATCAGAAGAAACACTGAGCACATTTTGATGTTTCCTTTGTGGGAAACGCACATCATAGTTGCAGTTAGTGTCCGTATTATCCAAGCCAGCCAGCCAGCTGTTAGAAGGAACAAATTTCTCCACTGATTCATCACACCATAAGCTTTTATCCAATGTCATCTGACTTCCACTTGTTACACTGTGGCTCTGATTGAGCTTTTTCTGCTGCAGGAACATGTCATTTGTTATCTCCATATTGGATGGAAATAATACTGCCTGCTGAGATAAGCTGGATTCATCTTGAGAAGCTTTTGAGCCAGTAGATCTTTTAGAACTAGAAGATATTTTAGATATAATTAGAGTGTCCTGCCTTGCCACTGACTGATCATTACAAATTGAGCTGGCTAGGTCTGTTATTTGTACTGCCCGAGCTTCACTTTGAGGGGATTTGGCTTTCTGGCTTGCATTTCCCAGTTTTTCCACCTCCAGCTTTGCTTCGTTGTTTTGGACCTCTCTTTCCTGCACAACGTCGATGCTCTGTTTCGAAGGGAGAGCTTTGCGCTCATCTGAGTAAGTGCCTGACATCAATGCCTCACCTTCACGAGGGCCATATATAAGCCCTTCACAAGAGCTAACAGAAAATAAATCATGTTGCACTATATTCTCTGGGACTGGTTTGCCACTTGGTACATCATACAAAGGGATAGTTTCTTTGAAGGACTTCCATAGCTGAATTGCAGGTGAGCCATTTCCATATTCTATTCTTACCTCTTCTTTCTCAAAAGCATAGCTTCCTGAAGGAAGATTTCTATACTGTGCAGTGCTGGAAGGGCTCTTATGAAACTCTCTCTCTGGTACAATGGAAGATCCAGATGAATCCTGTTTCTCTGAAGTACTGTCAGTTTCTGTACCAATACCAGAAGAAACGCAAGCCATATTTCCTGCATCACAGCCTTTCGTTTCTGTACGGAGATCCTGATGCTTTTTTGCTTTGTGTTCAGGCTGTCTAGGATCAGTCTGTGTTTCTTTGGTTTCTGTTCTTTTCCCAGGACTACTATAGTGCCTAAAGCGTGTTGCATGATAAAACATAGGAGAGGGTGGGGGAGCATTAAAATAAGGCCTTCTGTTAACTCTTGTGTGCATGGGATGCTGTGGAACAAAATATCCAGGGTATTCGTGCAGTGCAACAGAATAAAATGGAAAATATGGGTTTCCATTTCTGAATCCTAGAAACAGGGAGAGGGGGAGCAAAAGAGAGAGAGAAAAAAAAAAAGAGTTTGTCTATATAAAAATGTTATATTCTGAAATAAGAGACTAAACAACACAAAAAAAGTTTTGATAACACCACATGGAATAACTGCTACATCAATACCCTACCTTCAAGTACTGCACAAGAACCCTCCTCACCACAATCCTACTGGGCCATTAAAGGACTAGCTTGTCTGTAGGCTACCCTTATTTTAAGTAGAATTTGGCTTCACAGCTTGAGGCAGATTCAAATTGGTCTTCAAAATGTAATATCTAAACTAGTCTAACTGTGCCTTTTAAGGGGATAGCTCTGAACTAGAGAAAGACAATTTTCATGAACTCTGATCACATAGATACCCTGTCCTTTACTAGGAAACAGTTACTTGATTTAATTTTTAGTTTTCCACACTCCATAAACCATAAGTAGAAACATGCATTGAATCCCCCAAGGGTGTTTACTGAATAGTAAATTCAAGACTCATCTTTAAAATACTTTTCCCCCACCTTCTTAAGATCAGTATTTAGTTCCACCTTGAAACAGAAGTTGCCAAGCTCAACAAGTCATAAGATTACACAGCCAGTGAATTACCAAAAGAAAAGGACCACAGGTTAAGAGAAACCCCTTCAATATATGCACTAAACCCATCTTCAGGAACTATATTAACAGCTCTAAGGGTCTGTAGCATAATATTTGCATTTCTTTTGCTCCATGAGTGGTACAAGCATTTTCTTCAGATGGCTTGTTTTTCCTTACCTGGTGCAGGCATGCAGTACGGATTATAGACTTGACTGAGGTACCATGGATTTGGGAAAGGCTGTTGTGCTGTTGGCTGTGCATAAAAAAAGGGTCTTGTGTGGTTTGTGGAATATGGTCCACTCTCTGAAGCTGGGGCAGTGTTCATTTTCTAAGTAGTAAAGTGACATTAAAGCTATCAGGTTAAGTCAGACATGGTCAATCATACTTTCCTAGAAGAGTCACAGAAAGCAGCCAAGTGTGATATATTCAGTGGCACTGTTGGGTTGTTGTTTTTTAAATGTATATCTCCCCCATTCTATCTATTAACAGGGAGAAACCACATAACTTGCCCTGCAATGCTAGCATGTATGTCTACAAGTCATTAAGTACAGTGTCCAGCTCAATCAGCTGGATTTCTAGACAAATGTTGCATGAGAAAAAACCAAGACAATTTTTATATGCAGTGGAAAGCATTACTGTATCCAAGACAGATCTTACCCAGTCTTCTACAAGCTTGTTTGAAGCATGAGAGAACTACAAGGCCAGCACATATACATTTGTTTGTTTAAAATATACTAGCCACATAACCAATATTCAAAGCAGTGGTCAGTGACCCTTGGATTATGCTAGCCATTGAGAGTAGCTAAATAATAGTAACTCCCTCACCTACACACACCATCAGATATTATTTTTAGTTTACTGAGCTGCTTGTAAGGAACACAAAACCATGGAATTTCAGTTCAGTAAGAAGTTTTAGTATTTAAAGAGTGCTGTGTTCAGACAACAGCATACATACTGTATTAAATAAAGTTCATATTCCGTAGGAAACTAGTTCTTACATAAGAGGTACAGGTGAAAGCTATTGCATTTGAACAGCCCTTTATCTCTACCGATTTACTTAGAGAATATATTCTAGTCATTTGTCATATCAAACAAGCAATTGGTTTAAAAAAAAAAAAAAATCTTAGTACGCATTTTCTAGGCAGACCAAGGTAAGTAGTACTATAAACTAAACACCACTGCCCCTTTTGAACAACAGGCATCAAAAGGCACATTTGTCCATTAGTAATTTACAAGTGGAAGAGGGCAAAAAGGGAGGGGTGTGGGAAAATAAAATAATTAGATTTAATAGAAAGAGAGGCATTTTGGCAAGTTAGAGTTTTTGAAAGCCACTAAAATAAAACTGAGCTTAAAGCCATTACAATGGGGTACACAGCTCACCCCGATAAATTAAAAGCCACACAGGAACAAGAGCCCTCTTGCTTCAGCTTCCATCCAGAGCACAGCCTCAACACAGCACCAAGAGCCTACATACTCCCCTCACAACTCAACACCACCAGTAACCCAAAGGCTGTTTTAACCTCTGGAGGGGCAAAACCCTACAAAGCCAGACTAATCCTTCCCCAGCACAGCTCTGCCAAAACTAAGGGCCATGCTGCTGCATCTGCCCACAACCCAACAGGACACAAGCCCAGGCCTCCACCCACCTTGTTTATGGACCTCAGAGACACCCTTCCACTCCCACCAGCACCTGGGCTTCATTTAATAGTGATATGGAGCCCTCAATCAGTGGGAGGGGCAGCTAATAGCGGCAGGAGCAAATACTCGTAGGCCTGTAGAGAGCTCTTAGGGACCAGTAGCCTTTTAATGCAGAGCATGTAATTTAGTTAGCTTAGATGAGTGGTTCTTGGCCTCCTTCGATTAGAGGACCCCTCAGAAGATGCTGTTTTTTTGGCTCCCACTTATGTTTTGACCGCAGAAAAATAACAAGAGTGGCTGGTGGGTCGCAAAGCCCTTCCGTGTGCTCTCGGCTACTGACTGGTGCGTAAAACCTCTGGGTCCATGGCGTGGGCAGACCTCCTAGGCCGTGCAGGGTGTGGCATGCCTGAGGGGGGCTCAAGACAGCTTGGGGTGCTGAGGATGGCAAGTCTCTCCCCTGTCCTCGGGCTACCAGGGGAAAAGGCCTGTGCTTGTTACAGGTGCCGGCAAGGGGGGAGGAGTTGTGTCATTGCACTCAACACACAGAAGAAGGCTTTGAACCCCGCGGGCCTCCCCCCGGGGCAGGCAGCCCGCAGATGCCCAGAGCAGAGGCTCGTGACTGTAGAGGCGCCTGGCGCCGCCCCGCCTGTAGGGGGCTCCCTCGCTCCTCGCCTCCCCCCTCCCCTGCGCTAGACACAGGCACCTGCGCAGTCATCCGTTCCACAGCCCTTCACTCCCCGCTTCCCCCTCAACGGCCCGCGCCTGCGCAGTCCCGGAGGCCGTTGGACCAAGCGGCGGCTGGCGGCCCGGCACGCCTGCGCGGGAAACGTCCTCTCGCGCATGCGCCGAAGCCGGGTTAGGGGCGGGCGCCTTCGCACGCCTACGTCTCCGCGCGCCTAGGGTCGTAACGGCCGTCGCGAAGGGAAGGGGCGGGGCGGGGCGGGCGAGGAAGCGCGCGCGCGCAGCAGCATCAGCAACCGCCGCCTCCACAGCAGCAACCGCCGCAGCCCGGGTGAGACTCCCCCTCCCCCTCCCCCTCCCCCTGCGCAGGCACTGAGGAAGGAGCGGCGGTTGGAGGTGGGTGCGGGGAGATGGCGCCGAGGCGGCTCCCGCCACCCTCCCCCAGCGGCGTCTGCTCAGCCGCGGCCTGGGGCTCCCCCTTCCCCTCCGCGCCGGG